TGTTGGAATGGAAAAGCTTTTAGGAAATGACAAAGGCTAAAAACACAACTTATGGAAGAAACTTCACTCTTATTTAACACCTTTACTTGGCTTAATTCAAACTCAAAGACTCCACCCCTATTTATACTAGTGGCGCCTCCTAAATTAATGGCTAGGATTGTGTCACCACAATTACAATCCAATGGTTACAAATAATTCCACACCTACCACACAATAATTCAACACCTACCACACCTACCACACCTACTACACAATAATTTCATACCTACCACATATTCTAGAATAAACTTATAGAAATTAAGCTTTATTTAAACAACTAAAACCAAGTTTATATTTCAACAGAAAGCAGGTTGATCAAAGCCAATATTATTAAAAATCATAAAAGAATAGTAGAGCCACTACTTTAAATTTACGATGAATTTGTATATGCGAAGAATTTCCTTAGGTGGTTTTATCATGCTAATGGTAAAGTTGATTATTATTTTTTTGTTATGCTAAGAGCTTTTGATGAACAAATAAGAATATGCAATTCAAAAAAAGCTTGCTAAGCAGGTTACTTTCATCAACAGGTATTACAAGTATAGGACCAAATTTACGAATTGCTTGACAAATACATGTATTTAGTCATCTAGTAATTAACACTAAAATAGGGGGCAGGAAAAGGACATGCGAAGCACAAACATTGTTAGTTAAATATTTCCTTCATAAATTTATTATCATCATATTTAAAGACTATTTTCTTGTGCTAGACACATTACATTATTTTTAGAAGCATGCACCAATGTAATCACTGGTCAGAATTCTTGGCACTCTACAGATTGCGGTTTATCAATACTATGAATTCAGTTTATTTCTATATTTCATTATATTAAGTGTTTGTTGAATGAAATTATTTTCTGAGTAGCATAAATTAAAATTTTATTCATTCCATATAAAATGAGACTATTATAAGAGTAAAACTAGGTGTTTGTTCTGATATGTGACAGATAGTTAACACTATTTAAATCAACAAAAATAATGCAGAACTTCTCTTGTTTTATCTTATTATACTCTCATTTTGAGCATAAAAAAATATTTGACGCTTAAATCAGGATAAAGATTTGAACCAATACTGTGTTAACTTTTTAAAAAATGGGTAGAAACTTATTCCAAATATTTAATTAATTATTTGATAAAAGGAGAACCATTATAAGTAAAACATTTAGTTATTATATTTAAACCTGTCATCATATTTATTTTTCCGAGTGAAATATTGTATGTATGGAGTAAATGAATTTTTAGAAAGGAGATGAAAAAATGTCTTCAATCTTTGTGTATTTGAGGTCTCTAACTAACGTTAGTTCGTTTATACCTTGTAGTATTACCTGCAAGAAGCCTCCAAGCTTCGTCAGCAAATCACCAACTTACAAAACTCAAACAGGTGAAACACAGTTGAAAAAACTCTCTTTTTTTTTCTTCTCTCCTGCATCATAAAGTCCATAGGTTCAAGAATTCTCAATCTCTGCAGGAATCTGATGGGTGAGGCACTTAGCACCATGAGCTTAAGGGACCTCAAGCAACTTGAAACAAGACTGGAGAAAGGCATCAATAAAATCAGATCTAAAAAGGTTAAGCGCATGATAATTTATGAAGTAATTAGATATTATATTCAAATTTTCTTTTATTGAATTTTTTAACTTACATGTGCTTTCAGAATGAATTGCTTTATGCTGAGATAGAGTACATGCAGAAAAGGGTAACGCCAAGCGCCATGGTTATATTTTCACTGCAATCACTTAATGTTTCTGTTATTATGAATTATTTGCTCATTTTGTTCAGGAGATGGAACTGCAAAACGACAACATGTACCTCAGAAATAAGGTTTGTCTTCTGTTTCAGCATTAAAAACGCGTTACTATTCTTATTCAAGGAGTAGTTTTTTTTTATTATTATTTTTTCATTACATCCACCTAAAATATTAAATATAATATTTTAACCACACAAACTTTAAATATAATATTTTAATCACTCAAACCTTTCATTCAAATCTTTAACTAGTGGGTTAAAAACAGTGATTGCAATGAAAACATGGTTAACATGTTATATTTAAAGTTGGAGTGCTTAAAATGTTATATTCATTATTTTGAGTGATTGACATGAAAACACTTTTTTTTTTCATATTGTCAATTCTGCCACAAAAATACAAACTTTAGGCAAAAAAATTTCATACATAGCTTATTGACATTCTCAGCTTAAGAAGGAAAATATAAACGCGCGCGCGCACACACACTCATAAATACTTATTTAAGCTTTAACTTGTCATTTAAATGATAAGATGAAGAAACTTAGAGCTTTAGCAATGATATCAGGCCTAAAATGACAATTAATTTGATGTCTTTGATTTTTTTTTGAGACAAGAATGTTGTTGATGTAAATTATAGCACAATTGCCACAATACATGTCCCTTTGTTCAATCATTAAAAAAAAAACCTTAATTGCTAGAAATTCAAATTCCTACTAAACCAAATTCTCTTTACACACAAAATAGGCTATTATTCTCTCCTCTTTTTTTTTTAACACTTGATGTGCTTATAAAATGTAATCAATGTTTTATATGTGACTAACTTATCTCTAAAAAAATTATAACTCCCTAAAGTTGACTTTCTATCAATAACAAATTCAGGATTCTCAGCATCTACAAATTCATGAATAATTTAGGAGTTAGTGTACGAAATTGATATTCCTTTTCTAAAAAGCCTTTTCAACAAAGTAATATATACTATCTACATATTGTAAATTCGTGATTAGGTGAGTTTTGAAATTTGACAGAAAGTATGAAAAAAATTATCTGATGAACATGAGTAAATTCATTAGCAACTAGCCTTTACATCAATTAATGAATTGAACAAGATGAAACATGATGTCAAAAATTGATTGATAAATATTGGCTTTGCCTTAGATAATGAGACAGCCAATTCAAGTGTTTGTTTATTATTAACAGCAATATCCATCCTAACATTATAGGAATTAAGCACATTTGTGTTGGACAGATCAGATGCAAATCGGATGTAAATATGACGATATTTAAGGGTTATTGTCGGATTTGCATCTGATTTTTTTCTGATTTTTTTCTGATATTAATTTAGGGTTCGGTGATATTATTTTCGTCCAATTTACATCGGCATATTCCAACAGAAATAATTTGCGTCAGTTGTTGTGGTGTATTAACGTCTGATTTTTTTAGACGGAACGTGTGTCAAAATTTGCATTTGAAAGTATTGGACGATAAATATTAGTGCCGGATTACCGTCTCATTTACGTCAAAAAATATCATAGATCTACTAGCATTAATGTAGATGTAGCACGGATGACAGAGAAAAAAAAACTACACATCATCTGTATCCTCCTCCTCCTACACGGGTGTCATTGTCTTCTTGCCCCGGCCCTAAGGCCTCATGAATTAAATTTGATTTTTTGATATTTTTAATGGGTTTTTCTTGTTGAATTAAAGCCAAGTTTAAAGTGAAAAAAATTGTTGCGTTCAATGTCGTAAGTATAAAATTTTTTTGAAAGGAAGCTTTATCTTTCCCTTTCCGTTACTTAAATGGAAGAAGAGAACAAGAAGTGATGGTTACCAAAAGGGCAATGGAAGATTTGATCTTAATATGAAAAGCTATTGATATCAAACACACTGATTCAAAAGGCTCTTCTCTTGAAGATACCTAGCAGCCACATCCAACAAAAATGTTCAACAGAGATTATTTATGGCGACATTTTTCAAAAAAGTTAAATTGTGAAAAAAACATGTTGGAAACTTCAAAGCAATCATCAAGCAAAGACTAAAAAAATTATAATAAGAGCAAGCAAAATAATAGACAAGCATACGTAATATATATGAAAGAAAATAATACTAAAAAACCAACAATAGACTCCAATGTCAGATAATTATTCTCTTGCATTCTCAAGCATTATGTCCACTTCTCATGCATTCAAAATTTCAGAGATATCAATTTCTAGCTTTTGGATTATTGATTTAAGAGCCACACGCCATACAATTAACTTTCACACAATTTTATTTTATACACTTCTTGTCTTGCAATAAAATGGATCATTGCTGACCATTACTGGCCAAAGAAGCATAATTATAAATAAAACCCTCACATACAAAATATCCTCTATAAATCTAAATTATCACCAACGTGTTATCTATCCAAAAGCAAACTACTTATTCAAAACACAATGCTTTTTTACCCTTCACATTGTATATCATTAGAACAAAGCATGAGAAACATGATTGAATTTATTAAATAAAGAGATAATCTCTACCAATTTGAGTCATCTAATGACCAAAGAAGCTCCACGCTTGAGTCATCTAATGACCAAAGAAGCTCCACGTTACATGTTGTATCAACCTTTTGTTTAAGAAATCCTTAAGTTCAATAGAAAATGTGGCTTAAACTTATATTAACCATACTTCTTTAATTATTCTCAAAATTATATTTTATATATTATTCAAAAATATTAGTATTAAAGAGTTCCATTATAACAATTGTGAGTTGCAAAAAATAATGGTGTTAATTTTGCAATAAGTAAGAAATAATTAAAGCCATTTTTTTCAGTTATAAGACATATTGCGACCATCCTCTAGAACTATCTCATAGCTAACACTTAAAATTATGCATATACATTCCTAACACCTAAACTTCAAAATTTTACATACATATCATATATTCTTAACACCTAAACTTAAAATGTTACATACATGCCGAAATTTAGAAAAGGGAAAAATGACCGAAGTTACCTTGCTTGATCATCGCACAAGCAGCAACGAGTTGTGATCACGATAGGGTTTCAGTGGTGGGAGGAAGCTATGACGACCGACGACAGGGAGGTGCGGTGGCCGATGACCGACAACGGCGAAAGGGAGCAGAGGAGATGCTAGGGCTTAGGTTGTTGCCGGAGGGAGGAGAGGAGACGAACGAGCAAAGAAGAAAATGAATTGGAAGTCTGGGATGAGTTTTTTAGGTCTATTATGTCAGATTTACTGTTTACTTTGTATGCAATTTTTTAGGCGATTTTAAGTAAAACTTTTGTGTTGATTTTTTTTTACCCAAATCCGACACATAAAGCATTGCAACAACATCGTCAATTTCGTCGTTGCTTGTGCCAAATATTCAGACGTAAGCCCAACGCAAGTTACAATGCAAATAAATAAATTTATGTTCGACACAAATCAGTCACAAAATCCGACGCAAATGTAAGAGTCAAAACTTCCAACACATAATGTCGACATTAATTTAAAGCTCTTATGTAGTATAAGATCTATGCTATATTATTAGGCGATCAGCGCTTGATACTCAGCCTAATTATTAGTAATGTTGAATTCCACAGAGATTGACTGATAGAGTTTTTCTCCAACCGAGATGCTCAGAGACACCCCAAGCCCTGGTGTTGCTTGCTTGGAGGCTCCATTGGTGTACAAGTCTAGGTCCTGTCATCAGTGATAATTCCTTCATCTTGCTCCTCTATCATGGAGAAGTCAGCTAGAAAGTCTACGATTACTTGGGCATTAACTACCGTATGATGAATGTAGGTGATGTAGAACTCATTAAGCTTTACCATCCACTTTTGTAATTGAGTGGAGTGCTCCGGCTGTATGAGCATAGATTTTAATGGATGGTTTGTGATGACCCAAATTAGATGCATCTGGAAATACAGTCGGACCTTAAGAGCTGAGATAATCAAAGCGAAGGTTAGTTTTTCTATAATTGAGTACCTAGATTCGGCACCATGAAGCACTCAACTCGTGTAGTAGACTGGATATTGTTTTCCCGCCTCTTCGTGGACTAGAATTAAGCTTATAGCTCTCGTCCAAATCTGAGATACAGTGATAGCCCTTTTGCCTGCTTCGGGCGCTGCAGTAGTGGGGTGACACTAAGGAAATTTTTCAAATTGACACTGATAGGTTGCTCCAGCATTCTTAAGCTCAAAGAGCATTACATTAAAACAAAATATACCTTGTGCAGTAATAAATTTCATTTTTTATGCATTAGTTTGGTGCATTTTTTTCTAGTGGTAGCCAGAGTAAGCTTCAGGGAAACTCATTACCGAGTATCCGACCATTGCATCCACCAAGGTGTTAATCATCAACAGGGGGTAGGTGACCTTCAAGAAAACGACATTGAGGATGGTGAAGTTCAAGAACATCCACAACTTGCCATTGGTTTTCTTGACCATTATGACATTTGAGAGCCAAGTTGGGTAATCAGACTTCACGGATGTAGCTAGCGTCTAGCATCTTTTGCACCTCTACAGCCATCGGTTAGGCCAGAGTTCTAGCGTTCGATTAAATTTTTGTTGGACTGACCGAGAGTAGGGGCTGATGTTTAGCTACTGGCACACAGTGTGGATTGAAAAGTCGGGCATCTCCACTGTAGTCCAAGCAAACACTTCCTAGTGCTCTTGAGGTATCTGTATTAGCTGATCCTTAAGTTTGACATCAAAAATTTCATTGATTAGGAAGATCTTACTGGGTTCTTCATCAAACACAGGTACCTAGAGGACAACCTCACCAGTCTCGGAAACTCATTACCGAGTATCCGACCATTGCATCCACCAAGGTGTTAATCATCAACAGGGGGTAGGTGACCTTCAAGAAAACGACATTGAGGATGGTGAAGTTCAAGAACATCCACAACTTGCCATTGGTTTTCTTGACCATTATGACATTTGAGAGCCAAGTTGGGTAATCAGACTTCACGGATGTAGCTAGCGTCTAGCATCTTTTGCACCTCTACAGCCATCGGTTAGGCCAGAGTTCTAGCGTTCGATTAAATTTTTGTTGGACTGACCGAGAGTAGGGGCTGATGTTTAGCTACTGG